ATTTTACAAACAAACCCACATGGCAATACTGTCTTGGTATGAAATTTCAACTCCCATCTCTATGTTAAGTTAAAAAAATACCTGTAGTTAAGGTTCAGAAAGTATCAGTAATTTATTGGGGAAAATAAACTAGAAAAGGCTGTTGTAATTCAAGAGGAAAGCCCCAGCCTGTAGAAAGCAAGGACATTCCGTGATTATTTTTCTTAAAAACTAAGGACAAGATCTTCATCTGGTGTAAATCATCCAAAAATGGAAAACAATTTTGCAAAAAATTTTGACACATCAAAGTTGTTTCCAGTTTGCAGGGTTTGAAATTGAACAATTTTTTTATATTTTTGACATTTTTCATAAAATATTGTTTGGGGGAAAGTTTGAAAAAATTCAAAATTTGGAAAGTTAAAACTGTTGAATTTTCATTTTCTCCATTTTCTCCCACTTCTCCCTTTTTTCCTACTAGTCCCTGTGTGCAATATGAGTGGTAGCCAGAGGTTCCTTACACACACATTATCTTTGTTTCCTAGTTACTTTTGCCCCCCTAACTTTTCTGAAGTTCAGAATGTCCATGTAGCTTCACTGGAGGTGAACCAATTTACAGCAGCTGGGCTCTAAACTACCTGTCCCACCTTGTATTTAGCTGTGACACTCTGAGTACCTTTCCCAGACTTGAAGAAGCTCTCGAAAGCTTGTCTCCCTCACCAACAGAAGTTGGTCCAGTAAAAGGTATTACCTCACCCAGCTTGTGCATCAGAAACTGATATTCATAATAAAATGAGTGTCACAGAGTCACCGGGCGATGCTCTGGAACTACTCCATATGAAGCCAGTCAGGACTCTGGGGGAGCATGCCTACTCTCTCTGAGCATACTGTTGCCAGGGCAAGAAGCTTACACAGCTTCGACCTTCCTGGATCTGACCTCGGAGCATTCAGTATCCCCTTGCACACCGAGCGCTTCCCGCAGTGAGTCCACCTGGGCAGGGCTCCTGGGGAAGCCAAAGGGCCCTGCATCCCAATGCTGCAGTCAGACATGACTCTCAGCCAGCCAATAAAACAGAAGGTTTATTAATCAACAGGAATACAGCGTAGACCAGAACTTGTTAGCACAGAAATCAGTGACTTTCAGCTAAGTCCATTTTGGAGATGGATGGGCCAGATGCCCTGGACTCCCGCTCTTCCAGTGCCCCAAAGCAGACTGCCAGCTTCCAGCGACCTGACCTCAGACACCCCATTGCTCCTCCTCCTTGTCTTTGTCTCGCTTCCGGGCAAAGAGTCACCTGGTCGTCACCTGTTTGCATCCCCCTCCTGGGTCTCAGGTTACGAAGGGCACTGGTCATAGTATATGTGCAGGCAGCTGGAGCAGCCTCACCTACCCCAGAGGTCTCAGCCAAAGTCACACACCCCTATTCCTACCACCGAGGTGGTGGTGCAGCACACGGGGAAACTGAGGCACACACAGTATTCATGCAAAACTGTAAAACTCACATAGGCTCAACAGTAAGACTCAGATACAACATAATAAGGGGAAATCCCCACTTTGTCACACTTCCCCTGAACAATCTTATTCTGGAACCCTATTTCCTCAGTCTGTGCATTGTCTATCAAAGCTGACAAACTTCATGCTAGCTACTGTGTATGAGAACGCACTCCTTAGAGAGTTAATCAGGAGTCTTTTAATCCTGGAATTGTTGGCACTGGGCACTTCCTCATAGATTTTATGGCCAGAAGGTACCATCATGATCATCTAAGTCTGACCTCCTGCACATCACAGGACACAGAACCTCACCCACCTACTCTTGTAGTAGGCCCAGAACCCCTGGCTGAGGTACTGAAGTCCTCAAATTTTGATGTAAAGGCTTAAAATTGCAGAGAAGCCACCATTTAGTCTAGTTCAAATGAACAAGTGACCTGTGCTCCATGCTGAAAAGGAAGGCAAAAAATCCCCAGTGTCTCTGCCAATCTGTCCTGGGGAAAAACTCCTTCCCAACCCCAACTATGTTGCTCAGTTGGACCCTGAGCATGTGGGTGAGACCCACCAGCCAGATACCTGTGAAAGAATTCTCTGTAGTAACTCAGAGCTCTCCCCATTTAGTGTCCCATCTCCCACCATAGGAGATATTTGCTAACAGCAGTCGCAGATTGGCCATATGCCATTGTAGGCAGTCTCATCATACCACCCTCTCCATATATTTAACAAGCTTAGTCTTGAAACAAGTTAGGTTTTTTGCCCCCACTGCTCCATGTGGAAGGCTGTTCCAGAACTTCATTTCATCGTGAATCTGTGGAACATTAAGAAGAGAGGAATTACCAGACCAGATCAAACCCATGGACCACCTAAGCCATGATCCTGTCACTGACAGTGGCCAATACCAGCTGCTTCAGAGAAAGGTGCAAAAAATCCAGTAATAATCCATTATGGAATAATTTGCCCAGCGTGAGGAGTAGTTTCTTCCTAACCCCCACAGCATGAGGATTTGTATCCTTTCCAAAACTCTTCTTTTTAATCCTTAATATTGCAACTCTGGATACTCATGTTATCCATATAAATGCCCAGTCCCCATTTGAAACTTACTAAGCTCTTGGCTTCAGTGGACAATGGCAATGAGTTTCCTGGCTGCTTGTGTGTTATCTCTCTACTTTAGAAAGGCTTTTGATACTGTCTCACATGACCTTCTATAAACAAACTAAAGAAATATAGCCAGTGATGAGCTCCCAAAATCGTAAGAACCGGTTCCCTACCGGGTCCTCGGTGGCACTTCGGCGGGGGGGGAGGTCTTCACTCGCTCCGGGGTTTTGGCGGCATTTCGGCGGCAGGTACTTCACCCGGAGCAAGTGAAGACCCCCCCCCCCCACCAGCCGCCGAAGTGCCGCCGAAGACCCGGTAGGGAACTGCGTGGTGAGTACAAGCCCCACGTGCCTGTCTCCCACCCACCCACCCATCCGACCCCAACCCATGTCCTGCCCCCGACTGCCCCCCTCAGACCCGCAACCGATCAACCCCCACCCTGCTCCTTGTCCCCTGACCACCCCCTCCCGAGACTCCCACCCTAACTGCCCTCCAGGACCCACCCCCTACCCAACTCACCCCACTCCCTGTCCCCTGACTGCCCTGACCCCATCCACCACCACCCTGACAGACCCCCGGAACTCCCACACCTACCCAACCCCCCCCCATTCCCCCATCCCCCTGACCGCCCCCCCCCAAGACGCCCTCTTCCCCCCTAACCCCCTCCCTCCCCAGCCCCCGGCCCGGCCCCCTTACCATGCTGCTCAGGGCAGCATGTATCGATGCTGCGTGGCCCGCTGGATCTCACAGCCCCACCCCCTTACCATGCCGCTCAAAGAGGCAGGAGCTGCAGAGCTGCCCAGGAGCGGTCCAGAGTGTTGGTGCTGGCGGCGCGGCACGCTGAGGCTCTGCGAGAGGGGGGAAGGCAGGGGAGGGGCTGGGGGAGCCTCCCCAGCTGGGAGTTCAGGTGGGCCAGACAGGAAAGTCCTGCAGGCCACATAGTTTGCCCACCCCTTTAACAACCGGTTCTAAACCAGCTTCTAAATTTAACAACCGGTTCGCATGAACCGGTGTGAACCGGCTCCAGCTCACCACTGGTGGGCACTCAGATTGGATTCTCAATCTTTCGCACCCCAGAACAACAGTGGAAGAATGATTTTGGGCAAGTCACTTAACCTCAGTTTCCCATAAAAGGGGTTTCTTATCCATTTTTGTAAAACACTTTGAAATTCATAGATGAAAAGCACTATATAAAAGTGTTAAGTATCTTTATTTTCTGGAGATTCTGTCTCTACAACACAAAAGACAGTTCAGTTTCCCTATTCATTCTGTCCTTGGCCATTCTACTGAAACTGCCAATGTGTGCCAACTGCAGTGGTTTTTGTAATTTGAATACCCACCTACTGGGAATTGGACAGAAACCATATTTGTATCATGCAGAACACTGACTAGACATAAAATGGTAACTTGAATTACTCCTTACCCAAGCTGCATTTGTATGGTGACCTAGAGATGAAAAGGCTCTGTGTGTCTCCAATTATTAACTCCCTGAGCTATCCAATCTCAAACAGCAATAAAAATTCACACTTTTTAATGTATTTAGGTCATCATAATTATATGTAATTGCTATGCTGTCAATGTCTTAATCGGTACAATTTAAGCTACTTTTAAACATTGTTTTCAGCCAAAGTACAGCTGCAGCAATATTACTGGGAAGGAGATATTCAGGTAACATCTGACAAGTGGGTATAAGAACCTTTTTTTGGATAAGTGTTAATATTTGTAATCAGTTGGGGAGATTTGTACAAATATAGTGATAATGATTTTTAGCTAATGCAATAATGCGACCTTTCATTTATGCAAGAGTGGTTTGCAAGACATAATTAACAGATAACACAAAGAATACACTAGACATCACCCTTGAAGAACAACCATTTCCTGGTGAAATGTAGCAAGAGAAGAGCAGAGCACAGACAAAGTTTCAGCATGGTGAAGTAGATGCACAGAGATGAAGGACTCCAGTAAGTGATCCAATTTAAGCAATGAAGCTTCTGTTTGGCTAGTTAAGGAGGATCACCTATTAGGACCCACCACCACATCTATGGCACCATAGGCTATGGTCAGTCACCACATGGTAGCCTACAGAGGCTGGTTTATTCCATGTCCCCTCATTACATGAGAGCTGCTGGGCTAAGTCAACCAACTAGAGCAGGGGTAGGCAACCTATGGCACGCGTGCCGAAGACGGCACGCGAGCTTATTTTCAGTGGCACTCACACTGCCCGAGTCCTGGCCACTGGTCCAGGGGGCTCTGCATTTTAATCTAATTTTAAATGAAGCTTCTTAAACATTTTTAAAACCTTATTTACTTTACATACAATAGTTTAGTTATATATTATAGACTTAGAGAAATAGACCTTCTAAAAATGTTAAAATGTATTACTGGCATGCGAAACCTGAAATTAGAGTGAACAAATGAAGTCTCGGCACACCACTTCTGAAAGGTTGCCAACCTCTGAACTAGAGTTTATTTCAAGGAAATAAAGAATATTACAGGATAAAGCTGATTGCTTAAGTGAAGCCTCTGATTATTTATTTCTGGTACAAACACACATAGAGCTATGTCACTCATTGCTACCAGCACAGGATCCTTTCTGCAATTACTGCTAGGGCGTGGGACAAACACAGAGGTAGGGCATTAGGCACTACATAAATGGCCTTAGTATCATCCCAGCAAACAGGTCCGTGTGGGAAAGAAGGAACCCAGTATGTACAAGCTCCAACAGAAACCCCGGTTTTGCCTGTGGAGGGAGGCAGGCAGTGAGGAGATTCAGACCCCAGGATGTGGGGCTCTGGCCGCGGGGGACAGCAGTGAGGAGCTATAGGGTCCCCCGGGGCCCCGGGCTCTCCCCGCGGGGGGGAGTGAGGAGATACAGGCCCCTCTCCCCAGGATATGGGGCTCTGGCCGCGGTATGGGGCGGGACAGCGAGGGGGTGCGGGGCTCCGCCCAGGACGGGGGGAAGGCCGTGGCCCGCCGGCGCTTACCCATGACCTGTACCCGGCAGATGGCGCAGGTGTCGCACTCCACGTCCCAGCTCCACATGGCCACCGCGTTCCACTTCTTCAGCGAGAACATCTTGTCGGCAGCGCCCGCCTTGGCGCCCGAGGAGCCCGGGTGAGAGTGGGGGGCGCCCGGCTCGTCTCCGTCCTCCACGTCGGCCATGGCGGGGGGCGGAGACGCTGCGGAGGAATCGCTCTGGCTCCTCGGAGCCGAGAGAGCGGGGCTGCAGCGCCACCCAGTGTCGGGAGCGGCGCCACCTGCCCGGCCCAGCCAGCAGGGCGGGGGTAAATGGGAGGCCCGGCGGGGGACCCGACCCCTAGCCCCACCCTCCGGGAGCAGAGGTGGGGGACCAGCCGCGGACTCTGCGGAACGCTCAGGGCCCCTCTCGGCCGCCCCCGCCACGGAAACAGGGCTCCTGCCTGTAGCTTGTGCTGATGCTGTGGGAAGGGCGAGGGGCAGTGGCAGATTTAGAGTTAGTGGTGCCCTGTGCTCAGCTTCATTTTTGGGACCCCTCATTGGGACCCAGACAAGAAAAAGGACATTCTCTCATCCCCCCTCCCCCTTTTCAATCTTTTTTCCCTTCATCCTCCTCCTATATTATATAGGGTTACCATATTTAAACATCAAAAAAAGAGGACACTCCAGGGGGTCCTGGCCCCGCCCCTTCCCCATCCCAGTACCCGCCCCAACTCCGCCCCCTCCCCTGAGCACCCCACATTCCCCCTCCTCCCTCCCAGCCACGCGAAACAGCTGCCTGAGCGCTACCGGTTTCACGGTTTGCCGGGCAGCCCCTAGACCTCCAGACCCTGCGCCCCCAGCCGGGCGCTTCCCCTCCTGGGCTCCGG